CTAGTTATGCTTGGAGACTTCAACATCCACCTAGATAAACCTCAGGCTGCAGACTTCCACACTCTACTTGCTTCTTTTGATCTCAAGCGAGTATTAACTAAGGCTACTCACAAATCAGGCAACCAACTGGACCTTATTTACACATGACACTGCTCCACTGATCATGTGTTCGTTACTTCACTGCACACCTCGGATCACTTCCTCCTCTCTTAACCTCAACATGGTTCCTGACACAACACATACCCCTCCACATGTCATCTTTCGACGTAACCTACGCTCTCTCTCACCCTCCCGGCTATCTGCTACGGTTTCATCTTCGCTTCCTCCCCCTTAACAGTTAGCATCTCTTGATGTTAACAGTGCTACTGATACGTTCTGCTCCACTCTTACGTCTTGTTTAGACACTGTCTACCCCTTTGTCTTCCAGGTCAGCTCGTACCACCTCTTCTGCCCCTTGGCTATCTGATGTTCTCCGCGAGCATCGTTCTAAGCTCAGAGCTGCAGAAAGGGTGTGGCATGTATCAGTCACTCCTCTCTTCCTTCTCTGCTAATGTCTCCACTGCTAAAAGGACATACTATCATAACAAAATTAAATATTCGTCTAACTCTCGCATGCTCTATAAAACATTTTCCTCGCTCCTTTGTCCTCCTCCTCCCCCTCCTTCATCAACTCTAATGCTGCCTTGACGTGTTATCAGAAATGTCCTATTTCCCACTTATGAAGTCGTGATTACGAGCTTGTCATATTCAAGTGCTTTAATGTCAGAAAGAATAAAATGTAGCATCCCATTGGTTGATTATCATAAACATTTACCACGCTACACATGCAGTTTGCTGACAATTCTGGAATTTCGGTCAAATACATGCTTATTTCACTGCTTTTAAAACATACAATATGCTTCGATTGGTTGTTCATATCTAGCCTATAAATACACTACTTTAGCGATAAGACAAAGGGATGTAGTTGTTGTGAGAACAGCATTGACAGCAGCAATGGTTGTCCGGGGAGGACAGGACTCCCCCTATCTGAGGGTTGTCCCCCATAAAAATGTGATTAAAAACCAGGTTGTGCATTGTGAATAACAATGTTTTATACTTTAAATAATTGTGTAAGTAGTAAAACAACACAAATGGGGCAAAAATGCGTTTTAAGTTAAGAACCATTTTGAGTCTCCCCCGCCCTTTGCCTCACAGTACTTTGGTCCAAATGCCTGCTTTCCTCTTTTACATCACCTACACACACACACACACGAGTCCGGTGAGAGAGAACAAAGTCAATAGTTGTGGAACTCCAGTAAGTAAGGCTGTCGAGGCTATTTTATTCACTTAAACATCAGATGAAGTGATTATTTTCTCTTTAATACAGATGGTGGGGGCTAAAATACACATTATTGAGGTCGCTTCAACCCGCGGACATGAAAAACAAACCGCGGCAACAGTGTTAAAGAAGCTAAAGCTAAAGATAGTAATGTCTACAACGGACACGAGCGCTGTCGTGGCGCGACCACAACAGCTTTTAAGTTGTCTAATTTGGCACGGTCTCCCTGCTGCACTAATAGTAGTAAGGCTTTCCTCTGTGTATACATATCCTTACAAGTACAATTTTAGCTGTATTCGTGTCCCCTTCAAAAATTGCTCTTGAGAAATTTTATGTTTATTGTCTCTCCCCTACTGTTAGACGAAATTTACGCCCCTGCTCACATCATTAACACATCCCTTCACACTGGTGTTTTTCCCTTAGCATTTAGACAGGCTCGTATAACCCCACTACTTAAGAAACCCACCCTTAACCCATCTCTTTTAGAGAACTACAGACTTCCCTTCTTCCTTTCATTGCAAAAACACTTGAACGAGCTGTGTTCAACCAACTCTCAAGTCTCTGCCTTTCTCACACAGAACAACCTCCTCGACAGAAACCAATCTGGTTTCAGAAGTGGACATTCAACCAAGACTGCCTTGCTCTCAGTTGTTGAAGCCCTAAGACTGGCAAGAGTGGATTCCAAATCTTCTATACTTATCTTGTTGGATCTGTCCGTTGCTTTTGACATGATTAACCACCAGATCCTCTTGTCAACCTTATTGGCAAATGGCATCTCAGGAACCACACACACCAAGTGGTTTGAGTCTTACCTATCAGATAGGTCCTTCAAAGTATCTTGGAGAGGTGAGGTGTCCAAGTCGCAACATCTAGCTACTGGGGTGCCTCAGGGCTCAGTTATTGGACCACTTCTCTTCTCCGTCTACATGGCATCAATAGGTTATGTCATTCAGAAACATGGCTTTTCATACCACTGCTATGCTGATGACACTCAACTCTACCTCTCATTCCATCCTGATGATCCGACGATAGCTGCTCACATCTCAGCTTGTCTAACAGACATTTCTTGCTGGATGAAGGACCATCACCTTCAACTCAACCTTGCCAAGACAGAACTGCTTGTGGTTCCATCAAACCCATCGTTTCATCACAATTTCACCATCCAGTTAGGCACATCAACCATAACTCCTTCAAAAACAGCCAGAAACCTTGGAGTTATGATTGATGATTAGCTGACTTTCTCAGACCACATTGCTAAAGCTTACCCGGTCCTGCAGATTTGCTTTATTCAACATCAAGATGATCAGGCCCTTTCTTTCAGAACATGCTTCACAACTCCTTGTTCAAGCTCTTGTTCTATCCAGGCTGGACTATTGCAATGCTCTCTTGGCAGGTCTTTCAGCCACTTCTATCAAAGCTTTACAATTAATCCAGAACGTGGCAGCATGAGCCAAAAAGAATGCACGTCACACCTCTGTTTATCAATTTGCACTGGCTAACAGTAGCTGTTTGCATAAAATTCAAGGCATTAATGTTTGCCTACAAAACCACCACTGGCTCTGCACCCCTTTACCTAAATTCATTACTTCAGACTTATGTGGCCTCTAGAAGCTTGTATTCTGCAAGTGAACGTCGCTTTATTGTGCCATCCCTAAGAAGCACAAAATCACTTTTACGGACTTTTAAAATAAATGTTCCCTCCTGGTGGAATGACCTGCCCAACTCAATCCGAGCAGCTGAGTCCTTAGCCATCTTCAAGAATCGCTTAAAAACACATCTCTTCCATCTTTATTTGACCCTCTAACTCTAGCACTCTCTATTCTAATTCTATTTTTTTTTTTAAATAACACTAGCTTTTCAAATCTTTTTGTATTGTATTGTTTTTATTTATTATACAACTGTCAAAAGCTAAAAAAAAAGGCCTCTAACACTAGCTTGCTCTATTCTTTTTCTATTCTGTTTTTCTTTTTATTTATTATATAATTAAAAAAAAAACTGCTACATGTACTGCGTTAAGCCAACTGAGACTTGTTATAGCACTTGCATATCATTGCTCTTTTGTTGATTTAGATTGCTTCTATTGTCCTCATTTGTAAGTCGCTTTGGATAAAAGCATCTGTTAAATGACTAAATGTAAATGTAAATATGCACGCTATGGGGAAAGAAGGTACAAAGGTGTCCCTTTTAAGGGTCCTGCCCCAGTGACGAGCTCTTGTACCCCTAAAGGCACAAATTTGCACTTTTTTTTCCTGACAGTGCAGCACTGCACATTATGCATGTCTTCACTGTCTGACACAGCAATATCAGGTCTTGGAATCTCTACTGATGAGCTGAACCATGTGTGTTTGATGGAGGAGACATGCTGAAGGTGCAGTGCTGGGGCTCCAGGGCCAGGGTTGGGAACCACTGATTTAAATATTGGTTAAATTAACATTTAATTCAACAATATATAAAAATAATTATTTGATGAATTGGATAAATAGATCCTGCAACCGTTTTTAGCTTTTACAGGTACATGACACTCTGTCAAGGTCTGTCCGTTGCAGGAATCAAGCTCAGGAATCAGAGGAGATGATTGAGACGTCACAGTCGAGGCTGGCTCAGTGGTCTGTGCATACCTGTCTTCAGTGTTAAGCATATTTGTAGATTATCCATGATGCTCGGTGCTCTTTTGTCCATGAGTTTCAGCTATGAACAGTGTTGCTGAAGATGCACAAAAGGTGTCACACGGAGCCTGTGGAGTGAGACGAGGCCGGCCGCCTTTAATCTTATTACTGCCACCCAGATCGCAGCAGCAGACGCTTCACCTACAGTCGCTGTGTAGAGACCACAAACACCAGAGGACTTCACATGAATCTAAATCGACACTATCTGGAGTAAAAACAACAGGTTATTACTCATCTTATGTGGTTATGCACCTTCACTCATTTTATTGTTATTGATATTTATTTATTCATTTACCATCATCTTTCTTATCTGTAACCAAGCTGCCTGTCGACTGGAAGATTATGAAAGAGCATCATGCTCAAGATTTCCATGAAACATACATGCCATAACATTGTGTTCTCTATCAGGTATAAGGTCATCGTTATAAAGAGTGTTTGTTATCGTAGAGTGAAACCTTGGTTGTTTCACTTGGTTGTGTAAAATTAAAGTTTCATAGTGAAGAAATATACATGAGATCTTTTTGGACAATGGACAAAATAAGCCTCCATTTTATTGGGGAGATGTGTAACAGGCTGTTAAATACACCCCCTGAAACATATAATGCATAATTTCCAAAGCCTAAACAATGCAATATCTAAAAATAACAAAAAGTAATATGTTATTTTTACATTCAAGATAAATGTGCAGGCGTATTTTAGCAGTATAATATGTTTTTCTTCCCAAAGATCCAGTGTGTGTCATTATGTTATCAAATGTAAGAGGCTTTGGAAGTTGAAATCAGTGAGGTGTGAGAGAAGTGCTAATAAACTGGCACCAGCTGCAGCACAATCACGTCTTATTAGAGCCGAGGAGAAAACATTGCTACGAATACTCCAACTTTTTGGTTTTAACCACACACACGGTACTTTTTGGTTATTTTCAGCTCAATCCGAATTAAGTGTTAAAACATCTATTTTCTGGGGTGCTGGAAGTGTCACCACATAGCATTTGTCTGTTATTAAGGTTTTTATTGAATATTTTTTCCCTGATCTGAGTCACACACACACACACTGCTCTGGACTTTCCCTACAGTCAAATGCTCTGTGCTCGATCAGGCCGCTGTGGCTCCCAGAGAGGTGGTCAGCGGGCCCCTTTCTTTCACACAGCGGCCCCTCAGTTCAATGCTAACATCCAGAGGGTCCACCTCCAGCTTTCACACCCTGGCCTCCTCTTGTGCTGTCCAGCTGGCTGTGACCCCTGACCTCTTGACCCTCACTCCTGACCCCTGGACTCGTTCCCACGCCACACGTTTTTGTACGGCCCTCGCCGTGGCAACTCCGAGGCCATCGCTGCCACGGTAACAGATGGAAATAACTTTATTCAGCAGAGAGGTGGACAATCTGCCAAAACACTCCCCAATAACCATCACGTACCACTCCAGCACCTCCGATCATGTGATCTGATGAGATCTGGCATAGACAATTACAAGTCTACAAGTAATAATAAAAAACATTCACTCCTCAGTCAAACTAATGTTTAGAAGTTGGAAACTCAAAACTTGAAAAAATGCCTAATGTGTTGACTTTCTAGCAGCTGCCTGTTTAATCTACTGAGAGCTGGACAATATAATCCAAATATGTACCACAATATAAATCATTTTCAACCACAGTAAGGAATGCCATCCCGTTATAGTAGTTCTGCCTGAAATCAGAGAAGATACTAATTGAAATTAAAGCCATACTCTATATTTCTCAACATCCCTGCTTAAATCACTGATGATTATGGTTGAAAAATGTTAAGCTCACATCAGACTCTTGACAACCAGCTATTTTCATCTAAAATAAACTAATTGTATTTTCACGATTGCTTTTGGAGAATCGCTCACTCCTGCTTTGAACAAAACCGACCAATATTTAAATCTCCTAAATGCCTTTGAATGACATTTTTCTGTGCTAGACAACACTATAAATACAATACAGCTGTGAATCCAGAGGATCGCTCATATCATCGTTATATATCTTCATATCACGCAGCACTAAAACTTACTCTATGAGATGACAGAACCTGCTGCAGAAGTGCACAGTCTGGCCCTTATGTAGTAGAAGCGCTCGGGTTCATGTACTCGTGCAGATCATGATTCGGGCTTACAGCGCCCTTTAGCTGTGACTACAGTCCCAAACACAGAGTAAATCAGGTCTAAATGAACATGACACTCGTCTTTAGTGTAAACACTTTCGTGGTTTATGGCCCTCGAGGGATGCTGTAGAAAAGCTTAAGATGTCCAAACACACACTTCCACTCTTTACAGAGAAATGAGTGCCCTTTGACCCTCATTCTGAGTAAACAGGACAACAAACAGGACAACGTGAGACCTCGAGCTCCTGTTCTGCACACAGCCGAGGCTTTTACCGTAACACGTTAAATGCTTCTGAACGCTTTACTCTGATGCACTGACTTCAGATTCTCCAAACGCTGAGCTGAAATCACTTTCCCGTATCTGTATCTCCATCGCTGCAGCACGGCCTCCTCCCTCACCCTTTCTCTCTCGCTCGCTTCATTGTGTCGCTGGAGATTCTCTCCATTGAGCTCGAGTCTCTTAGGAAACCCCAGTCCTGCATAAAATGAGGGGGACAGAAGAAAAGGAAGTTAGGAGGGAGGAAGGGGGGAAAGAGGAGGGGAAATCCAGAGAAGGGACACAAAATGTGAGGGACAGCGTGAAGACGGAACAGAAGATGTGGAGGACAGAGCAGCAGAGGAGGTCTCTCTGGCCTCATAACACTTCACGCTCTTCCAAACAGGCCTCCCCTGAGGAATATCTCATCGCTCTTTTCTGTGTCTCTTGACATTCTTCAGGAGGAAACGGGTCAGCTGTTGATAGACAGTAAGAGTATAGAGCTAGGAAATGTGGATGGCATAGCAGGTCATTGTGAGAACTGAATGAGAAATATTTGAGTTAGTATTGAGATGATTACAGTGTGAGGTCTCTGATTACTGGTATGATTTTTTCATGCGGGCAAACGTTTCAGAATTAGTAGACTCTTCATTTCACTGCAAGCATTTTTGGGGAAGATATTGAAAAGATCTCATTCAGAATGTTTCTGCTCTGTTCGCTGAACTCAGTTTTGAGAGTGATGTGAAGTCATCCTGAATAAAGAGAACGGTTTTGTGTTTGTTATTAGCAGGTGGAATCTAGATGGAATCTGGAGACTTTTGTCACATTTTCTGCACAGATTTTGGGGGAAATGAATAAGCAAGGAACACGTGTGGACACTTATAGCTGGAGTTGTGCAGGCACAGATCCCACGTGGGCCTGGTTATTAGATTCATTAAAAAAAATGCATTGAGTGATTCCACTGCTTCTGGAGAATCTGAGCTTGATGGATGGATTCATTTTCACCAACATTTACCAAAATGTAACAACTACAGATGAATGTTATGCTGTGATGAAGTTCCATCAGAAGTTGTGGAAGAAGCGGCTCTTAACTGAAAGTCTCAGGAAACTCTCAATTCAGTCGAACCCACCAAAGCCGGGGAGAGAGGAGCAAATCAAACCGTTTGGTTTATTTGAAGCAGTATTTAATCAAACTCCATGGAGACTGAAGCATATTTACAGCCTGCCGAAGCCAGAGAAAGTGAATGGTTTGATTAATCTCAGATCTTTTGTGCGGCTGTGTGAGTTATGGGTTAAGAGCCTGTCGTCGGCCGCTGCTATTATCTAAAGCTGTGTGCTTTGATCGCTTAAGCCATGAGGATCCTACTGTGACACACAGCTGCCCGGAGCGCTGACCGTCTCACCGCTGACCATTGTGTCCGGCCGATCTCTCCTCTCCTCTCCTCTCCTCTCCTCTCCTCATGAGTCTGGTCTGATGTTGACGGTCTGGTGCTGATTGTCCAAACGCAATTCTTGTGCTTGTGTGAAGCAGGAGTTGTGGATGGACATCACGCTCCTGGCCGTCCCTCACGTCTCCAAACAGCGGTTTCAACGTTTTCTAAGGGTTCATGGTCCTTCATGTCTTCAAAGGACCGTTTTGAAAAGATGCTTCACGTATTTGTTTAGTTTTGTCATGCTTTGCTTGTGACGGTGACAGATGACCGGTGAGATTAAATGGGATTTGCAGAAGTCTCTTGTTCCTCAGATGTGCGTCCTCTAGATCAGCGGATCTTAACCAGGGCTTTGGGAGCCACCAGGAGGCCTCGAGATGACTTAAAATGAATTCAAATAAGACAAAACAAGCTTTGAAATATGCAAAACAACTAAAAATCTATTATTTATCAATCAATATTTCTTATTTAATTCACACCCCAACTCAGTTTTTAATATTAATTCTTCTATCTATGGACCCTTCTAATTTCTGAAAATGAATATATATGTAAAGCAAAGGTTTCCCAAACTGGGGCTTCATGGGTCTATGAAAAGTGAATATTTAATTAAATCATAAAAAATGTTAATGAAAACAACTCACATTAAAAAAAAAAAAATTAAAAAAAAAAAATATATATATATATATATATATATATATATATATATATATATATATATATATATATATATATCCTGCTGTATAGAGTTTCAGAAGAGACCTCAACAATACCTCAAACTGTGCTCAGATCTGGCAAGAAACCAAAATGTGACGCTCATTTAGTGCTGTGCTACTCATTTTTGCCTTGTTTGTGTATCGTGTTTTTATTTGTCTTAACCAGATTTAGGAGAAACCTCTTCAAAACATGATCAAATGAGCCATAACTAACTCAATTAAGTCTGTAAAATTAAATAAAAAAATGTAACTAAACAGTAAAAGAGAAACCTCTAGTCAGTTCTGTTTTCCTTTGACTATGTGTTTGAAGTTAGAGGAAGAAAAAGGAAATGAACTGAAATGATATATTTAAAGATGAAGTGAAAAGGGTGTTGACATGAAGGAGTTGCACTGTGAGCTGAATCGGAGTCGTTCCACTGAAAACTGTTTCATCTAAACAGTCAACAAGGTGAAAATCTGAAATTCAAAAGAAAATTCAAATCAGAAGTATAGTGTGACAATCTATCTGTGCAGATGGAACTGAAAAAGCAACACAGAGAACAGCAGAAAGAAAGAGATCAAGAGAGACGGCATTAATATGCTAATGGCCTGAGTGAATACACAACAGCTCTACTGACCAGACTAATCACTGCTGGACACACACTGAGGTTAATCCCACACACACACACTCGCACACGCACGCACACACACACACACACACTTTATGTTACACCCATGGCAAACCTAATACATATATATATATAATAAATAAATAAATATAAATCATATTTTATGCATACTTATATATTATATTAATATGCAATGTTATTTTATTAATGTTGTTTTCTTGCATAAATAAACTGCTGCTTTTTTTGTGATACATTGTGCACAAAAATGGAGGTAAACTGTGTATAACGGCATGTCTTTTTTATGTTACATTTAATTTGTGATTTCAACTTGATTTGTTGGATTTTTTTGTGCAAAATAAATAAATAAAGCAATTTAGCATAGCTAAAGTAAAGTCAGTTATCCTCAGACAGTCCAGCCTCGGGTTTTCTTTATTCTTCAGACATCTCATGTCTGATTATGTCACTGCTCTTCTGAAATGTTTGAACGGAACATTAGAAAAATTAAATGGCATAATAATCAGCAGTTGTGTAATAGTGTAATGTGTAAAAGTGCTGCTTGAAGCCACTCAGTGAAACCATTCCCTCATAGACCTAATCTCTAGAGCAAGTCTGCAAAACTACAAGCACATTACATGCTTTAAACTCAGTTAGCTATTGTAAAACAAACTTGTTGCAAACCTTTTTTACGTATGATGAAAACAAAAATGTTATGAGTTGTAGTTTTAAAAAAATGCTTACACTAGCTCCATTTCTCGAAACTACACAAAACCAAAACACACACACAACATGCAAAACGTCACACACATCTTCCAAAAGCAAGCACTTCATTCAAAACTATTTGAACTCTTCTAAAAATGGTATTTTTGCATAGTAACTATACACACAAGCATACAATAATTAGCCACATACACACCAGACTACACACAGATGTGAAGAATGTAAAACACTCGTCTCTCGTTTGTCTCCGGCTTGTTCAGAGTGCAGTGGAGCACAGTATATATGTACAACTGATGAATTTACACAGTTATGCAACTGAACTGAACCAATACTAAACTGACTTGAGCTCTATAATGACAATATTGACTTGTTAGAACTGCTTTACAACAGAATTTGAATGTGATACTATTGTGAAGCTGCTGTGAAACAATCTAAATAAAGTTGACTTTTCTGACTTGGCTTATATGCACATATATATATATATGTGTGTGTGTGTGTGTGTGTGTGTATATATATATATATGTGTGTGTGTGTGTGTGTGTGTGTATATATATATATATGTGTGTGTGTGTGTGTGTGTGTGTATATATATATATATGTGTGTGTGTGTGTGTGTGTGTGTATATATATATATAT